CCCACCGTGGGTCTTTCCAGTCCTCTGTGAAGGCAGGGAACCTCCTCCTCACACCAGCCTAGAGAACCTGTCACTGGGCAGAGCTGGGGATGGGGAAGGGCTGGACACCCCTCCTGCCCCTTCACGCCTCTCCCCGGCCGCCCACACACGGGGAACCGGACCTCCCCTTGGTGTCTCTGCTCTACCACTCGGGTCTCCTGCCAAGTACCACCAACACTCATGGGCGGGCGGTCTGTCATGGGGCTGGGCCACACCTCTGACCTCCGACCACTAGACAGCTCCCCATGCCTAGTTGTGTGCATGCCTAGCTGCTTCAGTCGTATCCGACTCTTTGCAACCCCATGGGCTAATCTCTGTCCATAGGATTTCCCAGGCAAGAATACTGGAGTGGGTTGCCCTTTCATTTCCCAGAGGATCTTCCCAACCCAGGGATCAAACCTATGTCTCTCATGTCTGCTGCATTAGCAGGTAGGTTCTATCCCATTAGAGCCCACCTGGGAAGCCCTGCCTAGTTGTGATGACCCTGAAACAACACCTCCAGACATGGCCTGCTGTCCTCTGGAGGTGCGGAGAAATACCCTCCGTTGAGAACCCCTCTCTCATCTCCCCTCCACCCCAGACTCCAGTCCCCTGGTCAGGCAGGCTAGCTCCCGCTAAGCAGACACTTGTCAGTACTCACCCAAATCCATCCAGGGTGTGCTGCTTCTCCCACACGCACCCCCTTGCTCTGCACATTCCATCGTTCCCACATTCTCACGAGTTACACGCATCCCCTGCACAGTGCAGGCCACCGCCCACGTGCTCTGTGCGACACCTTGGCTCACGCCCAGGGTCCTGGTACCCGTGTAGTCCTCCCCACACCTTGCAGAGTGTCACACACACGTTCTTCCTCCACGTGGCCCACACTGGAAATCAGGCCTGAGTGCACAGACCCATGCTCCTCTGAGCATACACCACGTGCCCCCCTGCACACAGGCAAACACACAATATGTGTCGCGATTCAATAGACACACACGTGCAGGTCACAGCACCTGGTGCAGACCCTGGGCCTTCCACCCCATCACTCAAAACATGGTCTGCTGTGCACTTCTGGGCAGACTAAGTGAGACATGCCTCTCCTTAACCCATCTTCTCGCTCTTCACACCAGTGTCACTGGCATCAGGATGTCTGGTATACCCCCAGAACTGAAAGAGTCAAGACACTCCTGGCCAGTGGAGGTTCCCACAATAATAGGAAGGACAACAGCTTGGCAGACTCGTGCTGCTGAGAAAAACACCACCTCCTGCAAGCCACCCTGGAAGCCTTACAGGTTGGTGCAGATGGACACTGACTCATTCTCTCTAGAAATGCCACGGCACCATGCCCAGCCCCATCCAGAAAACACTGGAAATCATTAATCACCATCAAATGCCCCTTTTCAAGAGACTCCTGGAACAGGACAGGGGAGGAAGGAGGAAATACAACATTACCCAGTCATCTCAGGCCCCAGCATCCCGCCTAGTTTCCAAAGGAGGGCCCTTGAGAGGGCCCTTGACCCTCTCCACTTGTCACATTCTCATTGGGATGGCTCTGACGTTCATCACTGGAATGGACCTGGGAGCTGCGCCCAAACAGACCTGCCGCCACTCCATCTGCAGTGTTCAGGTCGCTGCCTCCCTTTTAGCAGGGGGAGCAAGCGGGGCAGGGGAGGGCCTGGGAGATGGGGCAGCAATCCATTCTCTCCTCCATACTTGGCTCATGAATTTAGCTACTGAGTAGTATCTCCTAGGTGGTAGATCCCAGGAGAGACTCAGGGCAGAGACCAGTCCTTAGTCCCAGAAGCCCTGGTGTGGAAAGACAGGGAGTTTGTGTGGCATCACTCTCAGCACAGATGTAGACTCCGTATACAGACATACAGTGGGGTGGCTACTTCATGCTCCTCTTCTGACCTTGTAGGACAGGACATCTGACAGTTTGACATCTGACAGTCTCTACACTCGAGAAAGTGTACAGTGAAATGGTTTCTGGTACAAGCTTTGGAGTCAGTGATTTGAGGTTGAACTCTGCTCTACTATGTACTTGCCCCAAGCCTCAGACAAGCTCCCTGAGACCTAGCATCCTCCTCTGTGAAGTGGAGAAAATGATGCTGCATGCCTCCTGCAGGGATTATGAGACTCCACTGACACCCACTCTGTGTAAAGCACTTACACGGAGATGCCACAGCCCCACATGCTGGCTCTTGTTAAGCGCAGAATACAGAAGACAGCACTTAGCACCATCTCAACAATGCCCGCAGGACAGAGAACCTGGGCTCTGCCAAGGGCTCAGCTGACGGACCCGAAGGCAGAAGCATCACCCTGGAGGCCCTTTTCCCCCTCTTTGTAATCCCCACCCCTGCTGGAAACCCCTGTGTCGTCCTGCTGGAGATCTGGCAGAGGGGAAACTGAGGACCAGCACAGAAAGGAAGAGAGTCCCGTTCAGAAGCTCGTCCTGTGGATGGGAAAGCCCCGGGGGAAACCAGGGGGCTCAGGCTGTCAGAGCAGAGGGGAGCAGGCCAGCTCTCCCAGGCCTCTGCTTGTGGCCTCGGGGACCCCAACCCCAGCCCCTTCCCTCTGCTCCTGCACAAGGGAGGTGCTGGAACCCACTCGCGAGATGACTCGTCCTTCCCAACCCGTGTTCAGTGACACCACACTGGTAGTTTGGCAGGGGCTATAGCGGGGATAGCTACACCATGCATGCAAGCAAATTTCCACGAGACTGGGGTGGGTTAGGGTGGTGGAATGCAAAAAAGGTAAAGGCATCAAAGAGCCATTCAGCAGGCCGCCTCCGGTGGCCAACTGGTTGGGATTCTGGGCTTTCACTCCATGGCCCACCTTCAGTCCCTGGTTGGGGAACAGAGATCCCACAAGCCATGTGGCTGGGCCAAAAATAAAAAAGAGAGAGAGAGATTAAGAGGACAAATATATGGATACCAAGGAGGAAGTGAGACTGGGAGTCACTGGAAGATAAGACTGACACATATACACTATTGATACGGCTCCCCAGGTGGCACTAGTGGTAAAGAACCCACCTGCCAATGCCGGAGATGTAAGAGACGTGGGTTTGATCCCTGAGTCGGGAGGATCTCCTAGAGGAGGGCGTGGTAACCCACCCCAGTATCCTTGCCTGGAGAATCCCGTGGTCAGAGGAACCTGGTGGGCTATAGTCCACGGGGGTGCAAAGAGTCAGACACGACTGAATATAAAATAGATAACTAATGAGAACCTCCCGTACAACACAGGGGATTCAGGGCTCTGCAGTGACCTAAATAGAAGGAAATCCAAAAACAAGGGGGTCTATGTATACACATCGCTGATTCACCTTGCTGTACAGTAGAAACCCACTATTAATAACACGACCTTGTAAAGCAACTGTACACCAATAAAAATTAATTTTTAAAAACAGAAAAAAGGAATCCCTACCATTCACAACATGAAAAAGAAATGAGAGAGAATTGGGGAGAGAGCATCCCTAAAGGTGAAAGCTTTGTCTTTTGACTTCAAGGATACAGCACTTGGACACCCAAGGTGAAGAACTCAGGCCTGGCAACATTCTAAAACAAATCAACAATTAACTACTGATAACAACGGTAGTTGAAGCGGCACAAGGACATTTTCTGCGTTCTTCCACATTTTCAGGGTGTGTGCAACCAGTTGACAATGATACAGCCTGGACCATGGTGCAGGTGAAAATCCCTGCCTTCAGCTTCCTGGCACTGGTTCTCCCCAGGCTGGGAACCTTGCCTGCAGAAGCCTCACGAACCCCCTCTCTGAAGGGAGCTGCGGGGCACAAGGTCACACCATCCCCTACTCCAGTGGGGAGTTCACATCCAGGGACCAGTCCACCCCAAGCTTCAAAGGCCCGGCTGCTCCCCTGGATGAGCAGCATCCCTGAAGAGTTATTCCAGCTCCAGAGCTCCAAGGGGATTGGCCCAGGCCAGGGCTCCTATGGCACTGCAGCCCAACTTCCCCCTCCGCCCAACCCTGCACCCCTCCCTCCCTCCCAGGTGTTGCTCCTGGCATGCTAAGAAGCTTCCTGCACTCAAATCTTCAGCCCAGAATCTTTTCCCAGGGAACTCATCCTAAAATACACCCTACCCATCTCCCTGTAAAGAGACCACTGCCCAGGAGAGCTAATGCTCAACCCCAGGTGGTTCTTCGCAGTGAGGACTTGTGCATGGCTATCCCACAAGTGCAGGGGCTCCCCAGGTGGCACTAGTGGTAAAGAACCTGCCTACCAATGCAGGAGATATAAGAGATGAGGGTTCGACCCCTGGGTTGGGAAGATCCCCTGGAGGAGGGCATGGCAGCTCACTCCAGTGTTCTTGCCTGGAGAATCCCATGGACAGAGGAGCCTGGCAGGCTACAGTCCATGGGCTCGTAAAGAGTCGGACATGATTGAAGCGACTTAGCAGGCACGCACGTGGAGATGCCAGGGACCTGTAGAGCCGATGTAGGGGCTTCCTTGGAAGAGGTGCCGCACAGTGTTTTGCTGGGGGGTGGGGTGGGAGAAGTAGGGGGAGGAGCATGATGGAGTGTGTGTGTGTGTGTGTGTGTGTGTGTGTGCACGCGCACCTCTGCTGCTGCTTGTTTTCCACCCCTGTTGAAGGGCACGGCAAGAGGCGGGGAGGCAAAAGAATGTCACCTGCTTGCTGAGTTTAGCAACACCCAGGACCTCTGAGACAACAGCCACCTGCTCTGCCAACTACACAACGCATCTGAGTGTGCAGAAACACACGCCCTCTCTACCTGCAGGCGCAAAACGCACGCAGCCCCAGACACACAGCCCTCCTTCCCAGTCCTGGTTCTGCAGTGGCAATGGAAAGAACTCAGCCCACTCCACTTTGAGTGCAAGAGGTGAAGTTGAAGATCAGGCTCTGGGATCAGCTCCTGGTCACAGGTAAATCCTAGCCTCCAGCACATGTCACTCGCTCCCACATGAGTCCATTTATTCATTTCCCCCAAAGACGCACTGCACTTACTGTCTGCCACCTTTGCCGGCTCGGAAGCTCCCTGTGAGAGGCGAGCCCCAGCTCACTCTCCACAAGAGGATGCTGCACAGATGGGGCGTCTCCTCACCACCTGGAACAAGGGAGTTCCTGGCCTCCCTGCCGACCAGAGGGCTCTACTGAACAAACTCCAGGCAGTGGACCCCGTCCATGCTGGTGGCTCCACACAGGGGCAGAATTCGCCTCCCACCTTCCCCCACAATCCTCCTGCCCAATCCAGTGTTCAGTGAGAGCACATGCCTGAACCTTGCCCCTGGTGGGGGCAACCGTGTTACTCGTTAACTCGGTGATTGGAAATTGATTTCTTCTCTGAGCTGCTGAAGAGTTGAGGAGGAAAACCTGTGGAGGGCAAGTGTTCTGGGTCCTTGTGCCCTTAGGGTAACAGTCATGCCATTCACCGTTCAGATGAATCTAGAACTTCACCAAGCACTCAGATGCCAGATCTCATGTGCTGGGAGAATCTTCTGCATTCCCAGACATGGGAGGTCTTATGTTAACACTAGCTACTGTGCAGACTGGAATTTAATGTCAGGCAGGCTTGGGTCTGATTCCTCCCCCTGCTTCTCCCACCCCACCCCACCCCCCGACCCAGCAAAACACACTGAGGCACCTCTTCCAAGGAAGCCCCTACATTGGCTCTACAGGTCCCTGGCATCTCCATGTGCACGCCTGCTAAGTCGCTTCCATTGTGTCTGACCCTTTGCGACCCTCAGCCCCAGCTGGATGTGGGAAGTGCCAGCTCGGTGCCTAGTTCAGGATGCCCACTCAATCCACGGCCACTGTCAATACTACTGTTGCCAACCCCAGGGAAGCTCCTGTCTACAAGATGAGCCCCCTTGAAGGCTCTTTGTATAGGGCAAACCCATCACCTACCTGCTCTTGGGCCATCCTCTGGCCCCTGACCCTCTGCCTTCAGAGCTGCCATATGTGAGGGCTTTCCTCTTCTGGGCTGGACCTTATGTTTGATTGCCATGAAATGAAAACATAAGATACCAAGAGACTGGGGCCGGGAAAAGCCCATAAATCCCTGTTAATTTCATGCAGGTGCGAATCTTCAACCTTCCAGGCAATTTCAGTCATTGAGCTGGATCATTTGGACATCAGAGGGGCTGCAATGCACCAGCAGGCAAGCTCTTAAAGGGACATCCAGGGAGCTGTCCTGGAAGATGAGCCAGAGAGCGTCTCCATCCTCCATAATCTGCATATTAATTTTGTATCCTGTGTGCATATGTATGTGCTAAGTTGCTTCAGTCGTGCTGGACTCTTTGCAACTCTATGGACTGTAGCCCACCAGGCTCCTCTGTCCATGGGATTCTCCAGGCAAGGATATTGGAGTGGGTTGCTATGCCCTCCTCCAGGGGGTTGTCCTGACCCACTGATCAAACTTGAGCCTATGTATCCACTGCTGGCACACAGGTTCTTTATCCCTACAGATTCTTTACCCCTAGCATCACCTGGGAAGCCCCATCCTCCGTATTCTGAATCAGGTGAGACATGGTGACCCATGGTCACGTCCAGTCCCAGGTTTCTTTTTCCTTATTTGAAATACGGTGAGGAACTTTCTCCCCTAACTTTGCTTGTTTTCCGTTATAAAGACTTCACAATAAAAATGATCAGCTATGTGAAACCTATTTGGAGTTCAGGCCATTTGGCTCACCAGGAAATAGATGGCTGTTTGCCAGGATTTTTGACTATAAAGTTGTCAAAGCCCAATGTCAGAAGTTCAAAGGGAGGAGTGAGCAGATCACCTTAGGCAACTCAGTGCACATCAGACAACCTAGTAGTGGTCGCTACTGCAGTTCAGCCAACACTCACAGAGGTGTCCTCCATGGCAGGGGCTTCCTGGGTAGCTCAGCGGTCAAGAATCTGACTGGCAAGAGGAGGCTTGGGTTCAGCCCCTGGGTCAGGAAGATACCCTGGAGAAGGGCATGGCAACCCATTCCCTGGGAAATCCCATGGACAGAGGAGCCTGGCAGACTACAAGCCATAGAATCCCAGAGAGTCAAACATGACTCAACGGCAAAAAACAAAAAAAATCCAAGGCAAAAAACGGAACGAAAAGAAGCGAAAAAAAACGAAAAAAAAAGAACCTTTTTTCCAATAATTAACGAATTTTAAAAAAAATGCCAAAATTTCAATCCGGTTAACCCCCCAAAATCCTCAGTTACTGAACCATTTGAAGTAAGCTGTAGACATCATGACACTTAATCCCTGAATGTTTCAACTTCTGTCTCCTAAGAACAAGGATTGCTCTTCTCCAATAACTACAATACTACCATCATCCTGAGACCATTAACACCAACATCATAATATTGTCTAAAATGCACTCTGTATTCCCATTTCCCCAAGGGTCCCAGGGATGTTCTTTGTAACCTTTTTTTTTTTTTTTTAAGCAATCCAGGATATACTTGTGGATCATACACTACATTTGGCTTCTTCCTAATGTTTTGATGGATGTAAAGAGTTAGAGCTGTCCAATAAAGACTTTTGAGAAGGAAACTTTAGACTTCAACTAAAAAGACAAATCTGTCCATAAGGACCCTTGGATGCTGCATAATTCTCGTTCTTCACCACAGATGGGCAGATTATTTCTTAGAGGGGCATATGGACTCCTAATTATTCCAACAGTTTAATGCCATCTGCTCGCTATGAGGAGGAAAAACTGTTCAAATGTGGTGTCGGGAAGTCTTAGGTCTTGATCAGGGTTTAGCCTGTGTTCTGTAACACAAGCCCATGTCAGTGTAGGCCTGTAGTAGGCACTGGAGAGGTGCCTGCTTGAAAAACAAGCCTGCCCTCACAGGGCTTCAGGTCTTGTTGAAAGTAAAAGTGTTAGTCGCTCAGTTGTGTCTGATGATTCTCTGCGACTCCATGGACTATAGCCCGCCAGGCTCCTCTGTCCATGGAATTCTCCAAGCAAGAATACTGGAGTGGGTAGCCATTCCCTTCTCCAGGGGATCTTCTCAACCCAGGGTTCCAATCTGGGTCTCCTGCATTGCAGGCGGATTCTTTACCATCTGAGCCACCAGAGAAGCCTCCCAGGTCTAACTGGGGAAGGGAAAAACAACAAGGAAAGAGAGGGGGAAATGACGAGGCTGGATTTCTGGGTAAAGTAGATGAAGGAACACGTAACTCAAGCCTGGATGCTGGGGAAGAGGTCTCATCTAAGCCACAGGCTGAAGCAGGGGTGGGGGGTGACGAGGCCCTACCTAAACTGAGCCTTACGAGACATAGTAAGGTGCTTGGAATCTATCCTAAGACCAGTCAAGTGCCATTGAGGGGTGGAACACAACCAGATGTCCTGGTGCACTGTCCAGCACGATGAGCAAGTGGGCAGAGGAACCAGAGCTGGGAAACTGCACCAGGAACAGGTGATGAGCGGCTGCAGTTAAGACAGTGGAAGTGGAGATGGACAGAGGGAAACAGACAGATTTTTTATTTTTAAAACTTTTTTTAAATTGAAGTATAGTTAATTTATGATGCTGTGCTAGTTTCAGATATAGAGCAAAGTGATTCAGTTATATATATATATGTATTCTTCTTCAGATTCCTTTCCACTATAGGGTATTACAAAATATTGAATACCATTCCCTCTGTATTTAGTAGGTCCTTGTTGATTATCTTTTTTTTTTTAATTTTACCGGAGTATAGTTGATTAACAGTGTTGTGTTAGTTTCAGGCATATAACAAAGTGATTCAGTTATACATATACATATATTCATTCTTTTTTAGATTCTTTTCTCATATCACATGCATGCATGCATGTTCAGTTGTATCTGACTCTTTGTGACCCCTATGAACTGTAGCCTGCCAGGCTCCTCTGTCCATGGGATTATTCAGGCAGGCATACTGAAATGGGTTGCCATTTCCTTCTCCAGGGGATCTTCCCCACCCAGGGATCAACCCGCATCTCTTGTGTCTTCTTTACCAGTAGAGCTATCTGGGAGAGATTATCTATTTAATATATTGTTGTTGTTCAGTTGCTAAGTTGTCTAACTCTTTGTAACCCCATGGACTGCAGTATGCCAGGCTCCTCTGTCCTCCACTATCTTCTGGCAGTTGCTCAAATTCATGTCCATTGAGTCAGTGATACTATCTAACCAGCTCATCCTCTGCTACCCACTTCTCTTTTTGCCTTTAATCTTTCCCAGCATCAGGGTCTTTTCCAGTGAGTCAGCTCTTGGCATCAAGTGGCCAAAGTACTGGAGCTTCAGTTTCAGCAACAGTTCTTCCAATGAATATTCAGAGTTGATTTCCTCTAGGATTGACTGGTTTGATCTCCTTGCTGTCCAAGGGACCCTCAAGAGTCTTTTCTAGCATCCCAATTAGAAAGCATCAGTTCTTTAGCATTCAGCCTTCTTTATCGTCCAACTCTCACATTCGTACATGACTACTGGAAAAACCATAACTTGGACTATACGGACCTTTGTTGGTAAAGTGATGCCTCTGCTTTTTATTATGCTACCTAGGTTTGTCATAGCTTTCCTTCCAAGGAGCAAGAGTCTTTTCCTTTCATGTCTGCAGTCACCCTCTGCAGTGATTTTGGAGCCCAAGAAAATAAAATCTGTCACTTCTTCCACTTTCTCCCCTTCTATTTGCCATGAAGTGATGGCACCTGATGCCTTGATCTTAGTTTTTTGAATGTTGAGTTTTAAGCCAGCTTTTTCACTTTCCTCTTTCACCTTCATCAAGAGGCTCTTTAGATCCTCTTCACTTTCCGCCATTAGAGTGGTATCATCTGCATATCTAAAGTTGTTTATATTTTTCCCCAGCAATCTTGATTTCAGCATGTGATTCATCCAGTCTGGCATTTCGCATGATGTACTCTGCATTTAAGTTAAATAAGCAGGGTGACAATATACAGCCTTGACGCACCCCGTTCCCAGTTTTCTGCTAGTCAGTTCTTCCATGTCCAGTTCTAACTGTTGCTTGTGGTCCTGCATACAGGTTGCTCAGGAGGCAGGTAAGGTGGTCTGATATTCTCATCTCTATAGGAATTTTCCACAGTTTGTTGTGATCCACACAGTCAAAGGCTTTAGCATAGTGAACGTGGCAGAAGTAGATGTTTTTCAGGAACTCCCTTGCTTTCTCCATGATCCAATGAATGTTGGCAATTTGATCTCTGGTTCTTCTGCCTCTTCGAAACCCAGCTTGTATATCTGGAAGTTCTCAGTTTATGTA